TTCAGAAGGATAAGATTTAGGCACCAGACTTTCACTAATGAGTTGTTTACGTTACACATAATAATAACTAGTGCGTGGCCCGTGCGATGCACGAGAAAACAATATTACGATTGTGTTATAAATTTAATATACAAATAAATTAATCAAGATTTACCTATCGTTTTAAAATTAAACCGTGTTGGACACAGTCCGACCGCATAGACCGAGAACTGATAGGATATAAAATATTTGCTATTGAATCCGTCTAGTTCACTTGAACTGGTAGGATATAATCAGTCTAGTTCACTTGAATAAAATATTTGCTATTGAATCCGTCAACACCAGTCGGTTGAATTGGTAGGATCAATACGATTTTCTAAATAAATTTTGCTATGTTTAAAATTATTTTAAATAAAATTAAATAAATTAGAGCTTTATAAATTATTTATCAATTAATTTAAACATTTAAATTTTTAAATTGTTTAGATATTTAAGTAACACATTTTATTCAAATTTATTAAAAAAGTACTATATATATATATATTAAAGCGTACTTTTAAAGAAAAAAAAATAAATTGTATACTTTTATAAATTGAATTGTATGATTGAATTATATGATTATATTAAAGTGTATTCATAAATTAAATTGTATAATTTTTAAATAAAAAAATAAGGAAAATAATAAAACTACTATTTATGAGTTGCATTAAATGCTGACCTATTTTTTTGCTACTAATTTTTAATAAATAGGATAGCTTTTCATATAAGTATAGATGCGTTATTATGCAACATTTTTGGCCAATTTAGAATCTCCACATTCAAATTATTCCTCCATAAATTAATAATATATCTATACTATAAGTTCCATTACCTTGTCCAACATGATGAAATGTTATCATCAAAGGCCCAGAAAATATATATATATATAACTTCTTTCACTTTTCAATGTTGGACCAATTAAGCCATATAAAAAAGGAAATAAGCAGAAGAAATAAATATATATAAATATATATTTGTTTTTTATTTTGTATTAAAAAACAGTCCCACTGTAGATTGATGAGGACTCATGCATAGGATCTCAGCTACTTATAGACAAGGGAAGATCCCATGAAAAGATAACAAGGTCAAAAAAGAGAAAAAAACAGAGTCTAGTTGAAGCCTGGGGTGGGCCCCCACACAGCATATTTTTTTTTTTGGGACCACCTTAGGTACCTAGTACATTGACCCTAACAGTAAAAAGTTACTACTATGTCTTAATACAATACATGAGCTGTAAAAACTAATATATAAAAATCCCAAAGCACAAATCTATTGTCCAATTTATTCGTGTCATCCTTGTCAGTAGGCTATACTAATCTTCTCTGTATCGTTCCAATTTTAGCGGATCGTTCCAATTTTAGCGGATGTCCCCGAAAGGACAAAGCACAAATCTATGTAATTAGTAATTACACACAAGATGAATGAGGTGAAGCACACAATTGCATCAAATTTCACAAGATTGCTCCATCTAACTTTTCTTCTACTTACTATAAAATTTGGTACACTAAAAAGGGAGAGTAAGTAAGATGAGAGAAAATCAGGTGGGCAAAAAACAAGAAACACAACACTTCATCTTTTTTTCTGAGTCTTTAAACTTTCTCTCCTTTTGATGTCCACTGCCACAAAGGCCACCCATCTCTTTCACTGCAATTAAAAGAAAAGCAAATGCCCCTCATTGTCTACAAAAGAAAGAGAAAAAAACCAAGGAAAAATGATCAGGGTCACCATTTTGGTACAATAAATTAAAGAAAACACACAGGCAAAAGAGGGTACACAGTGTGGTATTTGTGGGGAACTTTCATATCACCAAGCAGCTTTACTGAAGCATCTCACCCAAAAAAAAAAAAAAAAAAAA